AGCCGAGGAGAGGGGCCCTGGGACGCCGCCCCCCCACTCCTCCAGCCCCACCTTTCCACCGCACACATTATAAGCATGTTGGTCCCTGCGGACACCCCCGCAGGTCCCTGGTGCGTGGGTCTGTGCCTGCCCTGCCTCCCTTCCCACCGAGCACCCAATTACACCCGCACCGCTTTGCATCCCCCATCCTCATGGCCCCACTCAGACTGACGTGATGTAGCAGCAGGCTGTGGCAAGGCACAGCCAAGCTTTGGAAAAAAACAGGCATGATGAGTCCTAAAAAAGGGGTCTGACTTCTCAAAAGTGCCGAGCACCCAGACGTACGGACCCAATGCAATGACTTTTGCAAATACCTCAGCTCATATGTAGAAATAGCAGCCCGTGTTTTGAATAGATTATTGAGCTTGATGCACAACACCCAGTGATTAATGCAATAAAAGGAATTTGGAAGAGCTTCCCCATAGCAATGCGAGAGGTCCCCTGGGGGCTGTGCTCCTCCAGGGGATGGGAGGAAGAGTTTGGGGCTCGGGAGCCCTCCTTGGGTGCCTGACCGCACACTGCCCCCAGGCCAGGGGGTGACCACCCCTCCCTTCAGCCCCTCAGGAACCTCGCCATGCATGGGGTTAGAGACACATCGATCTGCAGGAACTATTTTCTGCAGGCTGAATCATCTCAGTACAAATCAGCCTCCAAGCAGAGGCAAGCTGCGGATGTCACAGGGCTCAGCAGCACCCCCCCACACCTGAGGAAACACAGGAAGATTTTGACCATAAAAAAAAAATAATAATTCCACAAAAGCAATTGTGGAGCACGGCATTCAACACGCACAACCCCCCAGGGCAGAGGTCCCACCCTGCTAAGTTAGTCTGTTTAGGATTGCAGGCTTTGCTACATAGAATGAGACGCGGTGCCCGGCTGCGGCAGAGCTCGGGGCCAGCAGAGGTGGCCAAGAGACCTGCAGGATGGATGGATGGATGGATGGATCACAGAATCACAGAATCGCAAGGGTTGGAAGGGACCTTGGGAGCTCACCCGGTCCCACCCCCCTGCCCAAGCAGGCTCACCCAGAGAGCAGGGGGCACAGGACAGCGGCCAGGCGGGGGTTGAATATCTCCAGAGAAGGAGACTCCACAGCCCCCCTGGGCATGCTGGGCCAGGGCTCGGGCACCCTCACAGTCAACAAGTTCTTCCTCACGTTCAAATGGAACCTCTTCTGCTTCAGGTTGTGCCCATGGCCCCTTGGCCTGGCGCTGGGCACCACTGGGAAGAGTCTGGCTCCGTCCTGGTGACCCCCACCCTTGAGATATTTATATGGATGTGTGGATGCTGCAGTGGCATTGCTGCTTCAGGGGCCTGGAGGAGCAGGGTTGGTGCTACCAGGAGTGACGCTGGCAGAGGGGATGCATTGCCCTGGCCAGGCTGGAGGTGGGTGCCTGGGAAGGTCCACCACTGCTGCCTGTTCCAGGGAAGGAGCCAGCGCCAGGGAGCAGAGGGGGCACCCAGGCTCAGCCGTCTGTGCCAATATCTGGCACAGCATTTCCCAGGAGGGTGCAGCCAGCAGCCTCTCGGGCCATCCCCGGGCGCAGGAGCTGGCAGTGCCCAGGGCTGGATCAACCCCCTGATTCGGAGGGTGGCAAGCATCCCAGACACAGGCTATTCCAGCAGTGCACCCGTGTCACCAGCTGCCCAGGCACCTTTAGAAAAGCCCAGCTCCCGGAATGAGAACCAGCTCACTAACGAGATGAGCAGCTGAATTTTATCAGCCCAGCTACATGCATGGGCGAGGAGAAGCGAGAAGGACGTGAAAGCAGTGGCGGAGATCATGCCATCCTGCAAGCACAAAGCATCCTTATGGTCCTCACTGCGCAGCCTGCAAGGGACCACAGTCCTCCAGCCTCTGCCAGATCACACCAGAACCCCCACACAGAAGCTGAGGAAAGCCAGGAGCTCATTTTTCTGGGAAGAAATATCTGCATCCATCAATTTCTTCATCTGTCATTCGTTCCTCCCAGGTTTACCAAAATATTTGTAAGAAAAAAAAAGCAAGAATGTGTTTAAAGTGGCAAATTATTTTAGCGCTGTTTTGTAACTGAAACCTTAAAACTGCTTGAACTTGACACACGAGCATTTTAGAGGAATGCTTTGTTCTGCCAGTCTTGTGCATGTAAATGCTCCATCGACTTTTAACACACCTTCTGAGATGCCCTATTCTATCCCTCCTCATCTCCAGCCACTGACCTAGAAGGACACGGGTGTCTTGTAGGTCCTGTGTCACATCTACCAGCCCCACGTGGATGTCTCAGATGCCCAAGGGCATCTCCAGTGGTGCTGGTCTCCTTGGCATGAGAACAGAGCTGTGCCATGACCTCCCCTGGCTGCAGCAGGAGGCTGGATGCACAGCTCCCATCCAGATCCTTACGGTTTGGTGCCTGCCACCCACACCCACCTCACTCCAGTATCAGCCCTGGACAGCCAGCCCAATGCGGGCGGCGCAGGCTCCGCACACACGTTCAGCCCCTCATGACCTCAGGGGCGGCCGTTGTCGTCTGAGTCTTCAAGAACGGCCCCAGGCAGAGGCATTTCGCAGCAGCACGATCCTGAAGCACCAGTGGCAGTTTTAACCACCGGGGAAGTCTGCAAAGTCTGGACCTGGTGCAGCCAACACGCTCCTTGGGCCATGGCTGCTGCGTGGAGACCCCCGCGAACCTGTGAGCACCACCCCCGGCACAACCTACATCCCTGTGGCTGAGACGAGAGGGCAGGGATGAAGCTTTTGTTCATCAGCAAGCAGAGGACATGGCCAGGATCAGCTCGTCAGTCCCTGCCACAGGGAATTAGCTTTATCCCAGCAGGTCAGAAGCAGTACGGCTGCTGGCACTTGCATGGTCACACCAGGTGGGGGCATTTTCCAGCCACAGCCTATTGAGCACCCAGCCCATCTCCCCAGGACCAATCCTCCAGTCGCCTCCAGAAAGGTGGAAAAAGAGGGCGTGGGGGGGAAAGAAGGAAGAGGACGCAAAACAGCAAGGAGAGATGGGACACAAACAGCCTGGATTTAGCATAGGAAGAATGGCTGAAGAACCATCAATGGGATGGGTGGAGGAGGAGGTGAAGGGAAGAGGGAGGCAACCTCTCACTGGACATCATGTACGGGGAGGATGCCAGGAGAGAAAGCGCTTGGAGAAGAAATGAGTGGGAAACGCAGAGCAGGAGGGATGGGGCTCCGAGCTCGGGTGCGGGGCAGAGGGGATGGGTGAGGAGCAGGAGGGGAGGGATGGGACGGGAGCGGTGGAAAACGGGACAGAGGGGCGGAGGGAAAGGGGTCTGGGCTGACACCGACCTTGTTGACGCCAGGGAGGGCTGGGAGGAGGGAAGAAGGGAAGAAGGTCCAGAGGAGCGCAGCCAGCCCCAGCTGCTCCATCTCCCCCGCGGCGGCAGCAGGGCTGTCTGGGACGTGGGTTTGAGCCATTATGGGCAGGTCTGCAGCAGCGAACCTTGAGCACCTCTGGCTTCCGATCGGTTCTGACAGCCCGTGTGGCAGAGACACGGCTCTGGGGCACGTTATGGCTGCGTATGGCGCAGCCCCGCTCGCAGCCTGAGAGACAGGCAGTAAAGCAAAGGGGGCAAGGCTTGCAGTGACACTCGGCTCGGGTCCTGAGGAAGGGTCTGGAGAAGGTCCCTTAATGCCCGGTCCCACGTGTGACATTCAGCAAAGCGCAAAGGCTGAGGGAGCTGGGCTTGTTCAGCCTGGAG